TCTTGCCCGACCTAATGTGTCAGGTACAAACCATGGGAGTAAGGTGATACCTCAGTAATTCATTTAACTTAATTTTTTTCCTGCCCTAATTTTGATCTGTTTGATCCCATTTGCTGTATGCCCTCCAACAAAAGTTGTACACACTTGCTTTACAAGTTATGTGGATGTCAAAGAACCACGGGAAGTATCTATTCCTTTGTAAAACTTTAGAGGGGTTGAAGGGGCCTGTACAAATCAAGCTGCAGTACGTTTTCTCTAATTCTCCACCAAAGGAGAATTTGGATCCAAAGACAAAAGACATTACAGTAAAGAGGATTTTAGGCATAGCAATGCTGCATTAGGATGCTGACCTAGCAGATATGTTTGACCTTTCATGAGACTGTATCACATTCACCCTCCCCCCACTTGGTTTTTTTAACCTTATTTAAATAGCTTCTACAATTTAGCATTTCAGTTTGTGCCCAGCCTGGAAAGGACAAGACATACCAATAAAACCTGATTTACATCACCCAGCAGGCTCTACTCACTGTATGGTTGACAAAGAGGACAGCTGGTGGAGCTTTTTTGGAAGATAGACCAGAATAGTGCTGCACACATAGTAGGGTGAACTTGTTCATGACAATCACCATGAATTGCAAGTAATCAATGGCCAGAAACTTTAAGCCAGGATGGAGAATGTTTTTTCCCAAAGTTCTCTAAGGGTTGTGGTGGTAGTGTCATGATGGTATGGATGGGACAGGGTCAACATTTTCAGACCTTCCTTTTTCTTTTTAGTATTTTTTTTTTAAGTAGAATACAAAATTTATCTAAAATGTTTCTCAAAACCAACCTCCATTGTACTCCCATTCCTAAACTCTCACTTCCTTTCCCTCCCAACAGTGAACATTTTACAGATAAAGTAGATGGAGAATAGAGAATTCACTCCAATTGTAAATCCTTAGGCAACAAAAGTAGCAGTATACAGAAACAAGAAGGGATAGGCAGCCTTTAGGAAACCCAAAGTAAAAGTAAAAGTAAAAGTAAAGACTTCCTTTAGTTAGGCTCCATTTATGATGACTGCATGGACACAATAGTGTTGTTTTCCTGGCAATATATAAAAGTGGCTTGCCACTGCCTGCTTTTGGGCTAGTTTCCCAGCCTAGATTACAGATCTGGGATTTCCTAGATCCCCATCCTAGTATCAATCAACTTAAGTTTTGTTGTTGTTGTTGTTGTTATTTTTAGATCAGCCAGGTTTGGCTAAATGCTGCAATAAATGTTGGTGGGAGAGAAAAATGACCAAACAGCCCAGTAAGGATGAGAACACTAGATGGCTATCGAATGCTATACTGCAATGTGTGTGCATGTCTCTCTGTGTGTAAAATAAAGTAAATGGTATGTGGCTGATTAGCTGGCACCCTCATCAGGAGAAACGTTTTATTGTAGGTGCAACATGTATGTTGTGATATATTAATTAAGAAGCCCAGAGCTCCTGGTTTAAAATGAAGAGGAAAAGTGTAATCCCATGGAATCATACCTTCTTCCTCTCCATAACTAACCTTCTTCACATTGCGACAAAATAGGTTGATATGGCCATGTTTCTTGTTCTACGTTCTGTTTGTGATGGACCAGTAAAATATCCATTGGGGTGATCCAAAATAAAGTGAACAAGAAGTTCTAGGGAAGGAAGGAGGGAAGTGACACAGGACTGCCTCCCCTTTTTTTAAATAGCAGCCTCATGTTCTTTTTAATGTTAATTTTTCCAGGAAGTGAGATAAAATAGATAAAGTATTGGGTAAAACAGGTTCAAATCCTTAGATTCATAAGGATTTGAAAAACTTAGTATGGGCTAGTTTTGACTTTTCCTCTTTGGATTATTGTAAAGTATGTGATCAAGTTACTGATCAATATGAACAGTGGCCATTGCCCAGTCTTGATAGTGCGGTCCTTGTAGTTGCATTTGCTGCTTGGAGAAAGTGTAGCTGCCAACCCTTTTGCATTTTGGGGAGGAGGAAGAAGCAGTTGCTGGTAATTGCAAGAATGCCATAGTTTTCCTGCCACTGCTGTCTTCATGTGGGTAAAAGAGGAGATGGTGGAGGTGAACTGGTAGAATAAGAGAGGTATCAATTCAGAGCCACAGTTGTTGTGGAATATCAGGACTGTGGGCACCAGTATGCTGAAGGATTACCCCAGTATGACACCAGGTTTAAAGGATTAAACATGAGGTTGATAGAACAAGTAGCACAGATGTGTATTCTGCAAGTCATCAAGTTTATTGTTTAGTACAAAGTGGAGCTCTGAAATCCAGAGATCAATGGGTCAATAGCTTTTAATTCAATCTGCTCACAGGAAGCTTGCGTAGATCTGACAGGGACATTCAGGTTCTATTACTTTCCCATCAGATATCTGCTGAAAGACACAGAGAAAGTTCATCTATATGAAAAGGCACAATAGAAGAAGGTCTGGTGCAAAATCGGTGTCTTCTGACTTGGATTACAACTTTTTCCCATCTGGTTCCTACTGTTTGGAACTGGTTCCCCCTTGGATTATGTCTGGAATTTGATCTCTTGATATTTAAAAATTCCCTTTGAACAGGACTTTCAGGCCCTTTTTTGGGGGAAAGCAGGAAGAAATGTCTTTATCATTATTCAGTATAGATTTATATCATGGTGGAACTGTATTAGAAAGTGTCTTGATTATTTTACTGCCATTGTGATTTACCTGTGTGCAGTTACATATAAATGTTAGTGCACACATACAATAAATGTACATTAAATAGCATTACTGTATCTATATACTACTAAAACTCTCATTATGTTTATCTATTTGTCTGTTTGTACCCTTGAGTTAGCCCAAATGGTACATTATACTGCAACAATTTTTGAATCAAGGTACCTAAAACCCGCTAACTTAAAGAATGCGTAAAAAATCCGGGGCCCCTTACTCCTGTGGAATTGAAATTTCCTTGACATTCAGACCACTTTTATTCACAACGTTGTGGTCATTGCAGCACCCCTGAGGTCACGTGATCATGACTTCTGTCGTTCTCTGCCGGCTTCCCACAAGCAAAGTCAATGCGGAAGCTGGCAGAAGTCAGAAGTCGCTCCCGTTCCCATTGGTTTTTTGCCTGCCCATGGTCATTCTGTTTATCTGTTTAGGTAAGTAAATATTGACTTATTA